ATTGGTTGAGCTGGAGTATTGGTGGCCTAATGCACTGTCTAACACCACTCTACCTCAGGGTTAGCTGTTCTCCCACTGCCCATGTAGCCATGACGATATTGTCTTAATAACACTAATGCTGCTCTAACTGCCGCCGCCTGAGGCTGTATGCAGTTGGTCGAGGTGTGAAACCACTCCGCATGTTACCTCACACCAGAGCGCACATATACGTACATACAGAAAGGTGCATTGGAAGCGATGCCGTGCACAGATGTGGTGCAGTAGAGCTCTAAATGTATGCGGTATCTGCCGGGTTACCTAGTCCTGCATGATAAACAGCGCTGTAGCACTGCCTGTGCACACACTGTATCACAGCTTAGACTGCAGCAGCGAGTCACTGCTGCTGGGTTTTTGAATTTAAACTTCTGCAAACGTAACGACAGCAGTGTGCAAATTCCCCGACTTGCTGCATCTGCTCAGAATTAGTCATGCTTTTAGCAAATTGCAGATTCTCCTTGATCATAAAGTTCTGGTGTTTTTGGATTCTGGGTGGTTTTGGGTGAAAAGCTCACTCTACTAAAGCATCCTCTGTAAATCAGTCTGGATCAAAGGTCCCTTAAATGTGAATGTCAGTCAGTGATAAGATGAGAGCGATAGGGACACAAAAATCCGGATCCTAGAAATAACAACGGTGATTTGGAAGATAGTGAGGTAATACAGAGGTAGTCATACCCCGGACATTTGAAAGATGCCCGTGGACAAAGACGGGCTGTGAACTAGACGGAGTAGTAAGACATCTCAACATGTTTTAGCTGATGGTTGTTGTCTTTACCTGCACTATTGCTTCTCTAACAGCTTTTCATAAGCTCCTCTGCCCTGGAGCTCAGCCTGAAATATATTAGTCAGGGACTGAATAAAGCCTCATTATAAGGGAAACAATATTTTGTTCTAATCGAAATGAATTTAATTTCTGTTAGTTCTTCCTTTTTAGTTTGATTTTGATTTAGATAAACTTTTGAAAGTTTGTTTTTGAATCACTTTTAATTTAAATCTGCCTAAATTAATTTTAGCCTGCTTCACTTGTCATCTACTATAACAACTAATCATTGTTTTCATTATTGATTAATCAGCTGATTATTTTCTCAAGTAATTGTTTTTTTCTGTAAAGTGTAAGTGCCTGTCCTGTAACTGCCCCGAACCTGAACATATTCAGGTCACTTTCATTCATGGCAAGGAAAAGCATCAAATCCTCACATTTTAGAGGCTTGAACCAAATATTTGGCACTTGACTAAAACGATCATAGAAATAGTTGCAGATCATTTTTCTGTCGCTCGACTAACCAATTAAATACTTGGGAGACACACAGTCCCTAGAAAGTCTGATCTGTTCTCACCCTCCCCCTGCCCTGTCACTCTGCGCAGGCAACTGTCTAATAGAAATGATTTCAGGCGTAAAAGTGGCGCTCTTCTTTTGTTATTTCTTTCTTATTGCACATGCAAGCCATGCTCCTAACCAATACTGCTTGTTTTTAACGATTCAGTGTTTGATTTTGTCAAAAATCTGAACGTTGCAGAGTGTTTTTGTTTTGTTTTGTTTTTTTGGCCATGTTGCCTGAGGTGAGTCTGAGTGTTAGAGAAAATGCTGTCAGTGTGATTACGATAATGATGTTGATGGTGAAGATGATCAGAAGTGTCAAAAACAGACAAGCTGCATGTCACAGATCTCAGCGCAGCCTCAGAGCTGCTGACACTGACAGGCAGCGTCATGTTTGCCTGCAGTTTACTGGGGGAACTAGTTTCTATGTTTGAGCCACGAGGTTCTCACTACGTCAAATACATTAAGAACATCAACTAAAAAATTTTCCGTTTGGTCCTTTTTTTCCTGCCAGATAAACATCAATGTGTCCTCTGGGTCTGTTCCAGTCGCCTATAGATTTACCTTTAAGGGGACGACCTTTGTGTAATCTGATTGGCCCACAGTGAGGAAGGAGAGGCAGCAGCCTCTGCTTAGAGGCAGCCGTATAAGGAGATGGGCTGTGGCCTGTGCTGTGATGGACATCACAGTGCTTTAGAAGCTTTGACTTAGACTTGAGGGGCGGGTGTTGTGGTTTAAAAAGACAAAAAAAAAAAAAAAAAATCTCCCTCTGGCTTTCATCAAGCGTGGCAAGCAAGAGCGAAGAGGGAAGGGGGGAAAAGAGGAGGAGGAGGAGGAGGAGGGGGGCATGAACGGACTTCATACTTACTTCTCCAACCACAGGAAAAAGAAAAGAGTCGGATTGCACAGGGGGAAGAAGCTGAAAAGAGTATTTCTATTCTCAGTCAGGCTTCTTTACAGATGGTTCCAATATGCAAACCCGTCGTGAATTTGCACGACTGATGAGTTTCAGTGGCATCACCGCTCGGCCGCTCGTTCTGTGTTTCTGTGGCCGGCGTGTGCTTTACTCTGGCGGTTGGTTAGAGGCTGAAGTCAGCAGACAGACACAGGCGCATGCTTGAAAGGTTTTGCCGTGAAAAAAAGACCTCTCCACCCCCCTCAACCCTCTCCGTGTGTGGAAAAACATATGGTGTCTCAGGTAACACAACTGCCGTGTGTGTGTGTGTGTGTGTGTGTGCTTGAGGTGAGAGTGAAACAGTGTGGATGAATAGGTCCTACTCTCCAGATGGTCCTTTTTTTAGTTGTAACATCAGGAAAAAGGAAAATAAAAACATCTCAGTTGATATTTGATGGAGCGTTGTCGCTGTCGTTGGCGCCTTCTTAATTCAAAGTCTGCTTTAATATTATCTCACAATGTCAAAATACAGTCTGGAAAGTTTGTGTTGAGACCAGACATAAAAAAAAAAAAAAAAGCATGTCTTTATTTCCCATAATCCCCTTCCCCCTCTCTCTCGTTAAGGCCCCCCCTTTTCTTTTTTCCATTATTTCTTCTCTCCCCCCCCCCTCTCCTTCGACTATATGATACTGCCATGTAGGGCAGTGCTGCTCCCTAGTCAGCGGGTCAGGAATGCCTGTGTGGACTCTTCTGATCTTAACCCACTGACGGCTTTCATCCTCTGCTCTGTTTATTAGTCCCATCAGTTCACATCATGTGAGATCATTGTGCAGTGACACCCGGCGCAGCTGGTTCAGGCTTGGCATTGATTTATTCAGCCAGAAACACGGTGATTATAATAAACAAAGTTGTAGCTGTGCTTTTAAACACCATGACGCTGCGTCTCTGGTGCCCTAAAGCAGTGTCTGGAAAAAAGATACTAGATAACCGGTGTTCATATAATCTAGCATCCCTGTTAATGAAATATCTCAGCCAATCTCTGCCCGACTCTCCTCCACTCTCTCATTCAGTAGGATTTGAAATGTAAATGGCCACTCCTGTTAAAACACGATTAGCTCTAATTCCCTCTAATCATAAGCTTTAATTTTCCTGTTCTGGTGTCACTCTTCTTTCTTTAACTCTCTCTCTTCGTTCTCTGCGTCCAGGATTTTTGATGTGTGTGTGTGTGTGTGTGTGTGTGTGTGTGTGTGTGTGACTCAGCTGTGCGCTGGGATATGACTACAGGACACACCCTTTAGTGGCTGAGTACAGGCTACTACATGTTTATGAGCTCGCGTGCCCTAACAAGCATACTCAGGCTTTGATTTAACCCACCCGACTGTAGACTGAGGCCTAACCTGTGAATTTTAATGGCTCATTATCTCTCTTGAACAGGGTTCTGACAGTTCCTCCTTTATCATTAGGTGACAGAGACTGTAGCGGACGCAAAACACAATCAGTTTTTACACATTCTTTCCTTAACACACATTCAGCCTCACCACAGTGAGACTGGCAGTGGATGAATTTTCCAGATTTTTCCGTGCAGCCTACTTTCTCTGATGCCTCTTCTATCTGTTCGGCCCAGACCCCAGAAGCTGTCCGTCTCGCAGATGGGCCTTTTAGCATCAGCTGGCTGTTTGCAGCCAGCGAGGCAGTCGCTGCAGAAAGAAGAGTGAGCGGTCCGGCTATAGGATTAGAGAAGGAGAGAGGGAGAGAGCTCTTTTGCTTTGCGGCATCTTAGTTACTCTGTCTAATTAAAAAGGCTGTCTGGAGACCGAGCGTCTCTAGGCGTCACCCGGCCCAGATCCTGCCCGTGGCACAGACCAGACCAGTGGTTAATGGTGTTGGATGCTGTGTGTCATTCCTGCCTGGCCTGGTGAGGAAGAAGCAGCGGCCCTGACCCCAAACCCGCTGGTCTTTTTTTTTTTTTTTTTCCTTTTTCTTTTCTGTACCCATTCATTGCCTCTTCCTTTCTCTCACTCTGTGTCTTGGCTGTAAGGGGATTTTGTCAAACTTTATTCCAAGATGCCCTTGACTGTGTGAAATGATTAAAGCGAGCAATACTGCAGAGTCACCTCACGCACACACAAACACATGCAAGATAAGGTGTATGTGTTGGAGCAGCAGCAGCAGCAGCAGCTATAAAGAATCAGTAGATGATCCTGCTGCTGATACAGTTGTAACAGTGCAGAGAAATTAAAAGGACCCGAGGCAAGTCCCAGCTGATACACAGTAAATCTGAATTATAGATGGCCTCTAAAAGAAAGAAATAGAAATACAGGAACCAGTATTCACCCAATGCAACAGTGGCTGTAAAGATGTCACGGCTCATGTGTTTCAGTTAGTATTTATCTCTCCGCATGTCCATCCATCCATCCCATAAGCATCTCTGTATCTCAAACCGTGTATCGAATTTTCTGACTCTTAATAATAGATGTGTTTTCTGTAAATATTTCATGGTCGGCTGACTGAAAACACATGCCTGTCAGAGATATGGAGGTAGAGGGAGGGGGGAGAGGATAGCATGCAGGGGAAGGAGAAAGAGAGAGAGGGAGAGAGAGAGAGAGTGAAATTTAATGGGCAGGATTTTAACCCCCTCACTCTGCCTTCATCAGGACGCTGCAGCCACTGTAACAGGCCTGCTGAGCATATATGTTAAGTCATCTCTCTCTCTTCTCTCCTCCCCCTCCCCTCCCTTCCCCGTTCCCGCAGGGCTCTCAGGATTCGACAGGAGGACAGGAGGGATTGGTGGCCCCACCCTTTACGGCGTTCCCCCCTCCACCCCCACCTCAAAACGGGCTCCCTGGGACGGAGTTCGGCCCTGGGGCCATGTTTGGTGCTGGGGGCCAAGGAGCAGCAGAGGTAGTGGCTGGTGCTAATGGAGCCACCGCCGCTGCCACCAACAACAACAATAACGTAAGTCCTGTGTGTTCATAAAGCCTCTACTAGTAGTTTAGTGACCTGTAGAGTGCATGAGTCATTTCCATGATAATTATAGACGTATAGTATCTGTGGAGAAAGAAACCCACTCCTGTTTTTCTTATTTTTGACAAGTTGTGAAGGGACTGCAGCGATTTTATTATTTTTCTCGCATAAAATTTCAAATGTAGGGCTACACTATTAAAAACAGCTGTAAACACATAAACCACTTTGGTCCAGACTGAAATATCTCAGCATCTACTGGATGGATTGGCACAAAACTTTGTGCAGACATTCATGGTCCCGGAGGATGAATCCTAAAGACCGCGGTGATCCAAAGGTTGCATGCTAACACATTCAAATGAGATGGTGTGAACATGTTAAAACAAGATATTTGCTAAACATCAACATAGCGTTGATGTATGCTAACATTAGCACATAGTTCAAAGCAGCATTGTACCCGTGAGTGAATCCTCACAGAGCCGCTGGCACGACCGCAGAGCCTGAGTGTTGTTATGTGACATAAATACAGGAATCAGATTACATTTAAGATGCAGCTGAGATTATAATGTTTATTTCTAATGCATGATGATGATGACAATTCTGCCTGTTTCCAGTGAGTTACACCCAAAATAGGAGAAGTAGCAGAACTGTCACTGCGCTAAGATAACGATCACGAGCCGTTTCTGCTTCTCTCAACCTTCCATGACGTTTTCTTCCTCGCTCTCTCCCCCCCCGCAGGGAAAGGCAGATGAGACATCCCAGGGTGAGGCGGGTGTACAGTGTGGCACAGGAGGTACAGGTGCAGGAGGCTCCGCAGGAGACTCCAACGAGGCCAAAGGGACCCCCAAACGCCTCCACGTCTCAAACATCCCCTTCCGCTTCCGGGACCCAGATCTCAGACAGATGTTTGGGGTAAGAAGCTGGGAATGTTGTGGGGCCTCATTTATAACAAGATCAATAAATCAGTCTGGGTCTTTGCCTCACTAGGGGTGGGGGGTGTCTCCGAGTAACACAAAGGAAAGAGACTCGTGGGTGTTCTCTCGGTGCTCGAGAGGGGCATTTGGCTTCTATGTGTGTCAGTGTGTTAGTATGAGTGACGAAGCGAGAGGGAAAAAGGGTACGGAGTTGAGTTCAAGGCAGAGGGATGGACAGAAACACTGAACTGCGGGAAGTCGTCTTTTGTATAACAGTGACCCCTAGTGTAAAGTAGCTGTAACTCACACAGTGTCACACAAGCTTCTGACTTTGCAGTAAAACCGCTCTTAAAAGACTGAGATCTAAACCAAACCAGAGACAGCTTTAAAGATGTAAATGATTTGCTTCCTTTTGATTCTGTTTTTGCTCATTTTTCTTCTCAAATTTATTTGCAGCAATTTGGGAAGATTCTGGATGTAGAGATTATTTTCAATGAGAGGGGCTCAAAGGTAAGAGCACAGACGCCATTTAAATTTTCTGAAACACCACCACAATTCTCCCCTGACTGTTGACGGGGTATTCCCACCATGCATGGCTATGACATCATCATGTCATCAGCACGCCACGTTGGAGATCATTGTTATCAAACTTTAGTTATGTATTAAAAGAGGTCAGACTGCGGCCCCCGAGCTCCAAGGTTTCACAGATTCTCATCTCTCCCTTATTCCACAATAATGATGTGTGCCTCTCACTCACCGCCAACCTATTTAACCTCTGCCGTGTACCACAGGGTTTTGGCTTTGTGACATTTGAGAACAGCGCAGATGCAGAGAAAGCCAGGGAAAAGCTCCACGGCACACTGGTGGAAGGTCGAAAGATTGAGGTAATTTTCCCTTCTCTCTCTCTTTCTTTCTCTCTCTCTCTCTCTCTCTCTCTCTCTCTCTCTCCCTCTCTCCCTCCCTCTCTTCTTCTTCTCTTCTGTCTTCTGTCTGTACTCCCATCGTAATTCTGCTTGATCACTGACTGCTAGCTAGCTCCCATCCTCCCTTTAGTGATATGCTCTGATGCAGCCCACTGGTGTCCCACTCCCTGGTCCTCTGTGATGTTTTTCATTTTTTAAATTTAAAAAGACTTGTTTCCTTCTTTTTTCTTTTTGTTTTGTTTTGTTGGTTTTGTGGTGGGAATGATTGGGGGGTGCAAGAACACTACATAAGGCATGCTGGGTACTTTTCCTCTGCAGCATTTATTTTTTTCACATTAAGCTGTTGCCTCTTCACCTTTTTTGTTTTTTGTTTTTGTTTTGTTTTTTTCCACTGATGCGCAACTTGTAGCCACACTGATGTTCCAACTTTTTTCTGCAACAATTGGAATGATGTTTGTGTAGTTGGCACCGGAGGGCACGAGAGGAACGCAGTGAAAGGATGATGCATGGCAGATTGCCGTCAGATGCTCTTATTTTCCTCCCTAGCGTAGAAATCCTTCTGTGTTCCCCTCTCCCGGTGTTGTGGCTAAGTGGTTGTGACAAGCTTATGGCTCCTGGTGCAACAGCAGCATGCTGGGAATCACAGCAACACTGACGCATGTTCACTTTATGGAAGTCTGGATTCTTACCAAAGATCACTTGAGATTTTATGTATGTAAAGTCTATGTGTGTTGAAGTTATTTATTTTCAGTTGAATTGAATATTATTTTTTATTTGTAAACGCAAGCATGTGCTGAGTTTTTTTGAAAGTAGTTTTTTCTTCTTTAATTTAATTGGGGTTTCAATCAGCCAGTTGTCCATGTTGGATCTCTTGACCCAAGCCACTGTAAGCCAAGATTTCTGCATGGGCTTACTGTGGTGATTTCCTTGGTGTGTGTGTGTGTGTGTGTGTGTGTGAGTGTGTGTGGGTGTGTGCGACTCAATTCTTGCATGATGGATGAGGCTGGCTGGACCCTTTTTTTTTTTTTTTTTTTTAGTTCTGTACTCTCAGTTCTGCTGCAGTGTGGTCGAGAATGAAAGACGACCACCTGCATCCACTGGTACAACATGCTCCCTCCGCCACCTCCACCCTCAGTCAATCAGCAAGCTGAATGGATACTGATGGAGCCAATGTACCCTGCATCAGTCAACAACCTGTGTTGTCCCTGACATTGCTTTAATCTGATTGTGTGTTTCCTCCCAAGTTTTTGCATGATATCAGTCACTTTTATTAATCGGCGATCCAGTTTGTCGTTTGTCTGTGTTTTTCAGTTGTCACTTTTGCATGTACTCTGTTGTACTCCAGTAGCGGTGTTGGGCTGTAGCAGGTCATGTATCGGCTGCATGGTGGGCCAGCAGCAAGAGTCTGTAGAGTGTGTTTCTTTCTGTCTGTTTATGGTGCATGGGCTTGAAGAGACAAAAGGCTGGCGCAGGACAAACCGTGGATTTGTGTTTATACATTCTTTCAACTGAGGAGAAAGGGCCGGACATTTCTATTTGAGGCAATGCTCTCTGGCAGTTCTCCCTCCTTGCAGATGTTGCTGCAGTATCTCTTGCTTTAATTGGTCATATCATTTCAGAGTTTGTTGAACTATGTTTTCGGAGATGGCTAAAGATAACTAGAGTAAACATGTTACGATTCAGAAACTCTGAAATATAGGCCTACTGTATACCATTGTTATACATAAATATTTTACTATTATTGTGTGTGTGACTGTAGTTCACTGCTATCCACTGGCATGGGTTTAGTTGATGCAGCCTAAGTGTGCATGGTTGGTATTTTAATATGGACGTGTGTAGCCCAACTGACGCAGTTCTGCAGACAGCTGGATGTTTTTTTTCCTTGCATGTTTATTCTGTTCGGCTATTTCGTTGAAATAGTTTTGGGTGATGGGACGTGTTCAGTTAGCATGAAACCAGTTGCACCTGAGTGCCTCATAGAAACAAAGGCTGAACTAGCTGAGTCCATAGAATGATTTTTTTGACTGAGTGTTTTATAAAAGTTTTGCTGTCCCGAGCTCGAGTGCTGACATTTCTTATTCTTGGTGCATGCCAATGGGAGTTAGTTAGTAGTTGCTCTCTTAGCTTAGCTGCCCATAGTGTGCATGTGTGTGTGTAGCGTATATGAAATAGAAAGAGATTTGTTGTGCTTAAAGTTATACTGTACTTCTCTTTGTCTGGAATAAAACTCTGCGCTTTGAAGAAGTCAGTTTCCTGTGCGCTTCCAATGTATCCATGTAAGTGGCCCAACTACAGTTCACTTTGTCTCTACCTGCTTCTCTGTGATCCCATCTCATCACCATTAATGCTGTGTGTATATATGTATATATGTGTGTATATATATATATATATATATATATATATATATATATAGGTGTGACAGTGTGTATCTTACTCACGTACACGCACACCTCAATGCATCTCCACCCGTCCACGGCTGTCTCTGATTCTGTGTATGCTCTAACATAAATGGTTAATCAGTCCTCACTCATAACATCTGTCTGCCGTGGGCAGTAACATTTTGGCTGTTACTGACTTGTAGGACACCCTGCAAAGCTAACGATGGATAAATTCTCTCCTAATCATTTAGTCACATATGTGTAGTCACATATGTACACACATTTCATTCTTCTGCTGCAATTACAGCCTGAACAGGAAGTGTATTAGGGTCTCTGCATGGTCCCATTTGCATAGCTGATGATAAAAACAAAATCGTGACGTTTATCACGGTCACGCAGAGCGATATTTCTTCTGTCCAGGGAGGGTACACGGTTTTAACGTTCCCTTCCCCGTTTCTCATCAGGCGGCCGTTTGAAGATCCAAAAGGAAATATGTAAAACAGCAAGGTGCACGCTGGCTAAATTACATTAGTAATTTTAGTTTAACTGTTCCGTCTCTCGGCACGCCAAGATTAAGTTCTCCACGTTTCAAAACAAAGAGATTGTGGTGAACTCGTGTTTTTATTTTTAATCTGACCAAACAATCAGTATCATACAAAAGCATCTGCAGGTTTACGCAGGATTTCATCATTTTTTTTCCGGGCTCCTCTCTGACGCGCTTCGCTGTAGGTTTGTGCACGAAGCAAACTACGCTGTGGAAACGTCAATTGCAACTGCTGAGAGGAAGACAGCAGACGAGAGACCATGCAGAAACCCTTAAGACTCCCAGGCCCTAACTACTGCTTCAAGGTTGTGTGTTTGTGGTTGGTCTGTGTGGCTGGAGTGTTACGGGAAGTGACAGCTCCTCCGCAGCGCAGAGTTTTAGTCAGACATTTCAACACAATGGCGCAGAATAGCTGAGTTGTCTGAGTGTGTCAAAAGTGGTGCAGCTCTGCATGCGAAGGGATGGTGGTGGTGGTGGTGGTGGGTGGGTGGTATGGTGGTGGGTGGGTGTTACTGAGTAAAGAGTGTCATCATCACTGCATGGATGTGGTGAACGGGATGAGAAGAAGCCGTGCCTGTGGTTCTGCATGCCTGACCATGCACACTCTCACCAACCAATGCTGCCGCCACACACACACACTCCTCAATGGGACAGAGCTGGCCTTCCACTGGTGGGTGGGTGTTACTGAGTAAAGAGTGTCATCATCACTGCATGGATGTGGTGAACGGGATGAGAAGAAGCCGTGCCTGTGGTTCTGCATGCCTGACCATGCACACTCTCACCAACCAATGCTGCCGCCACACACACACACTCCTCAATGGGACAGAGCTGGCCTTCCACTCATCTCGGCCTGGGCCTTTTACCAGCCATTTCCATAATGAACACTTTTGGATGATTTTATGCAGTAGTATTACTCTTATTGCGAGAGTTTGAATCGGTAAGAACTTGATTTTTGAATTGCTGAATTGGCGATGGCCTGAAGCGGAGGATTACCAGCTCCTTGTGTCCCAGTTTCATAGATGAAACCCCACCCCACCCACCACCCTTACGAGCCTCCCCACTGCTATGGATTTGATCGGTCCTGTTTTGTTTTGCTCTCAGATCTTTCTGTTACTGCATGATTTGCCCCAGGACAAATTAACGAATGAACTGTGCGAGTTTTCATGTGTGTTTGCTTTTGTACATGAGTGAAAATGTAGAAAAAAAGGTTGAAAGACAAGGGGAAAGAGAGTTTGTACTTTGCCCTTTCCAACCCTCAGTCTTTGTTTGTGTGTTGACTCAATTCTTTCTCTTCCTTATCCCTTCATTCTCTTGTCGCCAGTCAAGTTTGTCTTTCTGTCGTTTTGTTTTGAATTTGAAAATTTGCAGTTTTTTCTAACTTTAATATCTATTTTGCCATCATCTTTGTCTGCCTTATTTTGTTTTTCCACTTCTGTCCATCTATTTAGTTTCTTCAATTTCCTGCCTTATTTGTATTGTTTGACTGTCCTTCAGTATGTTCTTTTGTGGTGACTGGTTAAAAAAACTGGAAATTATAGCCACTATACCCACAATCAGTTTCCAAACACACACACACACACACACACACACACACACACACACACACACTTCTCTTGTGGCCTAACTTTACCACACAAGAATGAGTCATTTCTTGCAACATCTAACCAAAATACCTCCGCTTGTCCTTTTGACTGGAATAGACCCAGACAGCATTAAAGCAACCTTTTGCTATTCTGCTCTTATGATGGAGGGTGGTGTGCATCTGTATCTGCTCTTCTGACTTTTCCTCGGAGGTGTTTAAACTCACTGCATCATCTCAGTCCCTCACTGTACTGCACATTCAGTTGCCTAGTTTCTGGGGTTAGGACAAGGTCGCCCCGTATCTTCATTCTCCTGTACCATGTCTTTTGTTCTCTAGAGCACCAAATACCTTCCTGTCACTGGTCTGATTGTTGTAATGATGCTCAGAGCTCTGTTTAGCACTGAGAGCTAGCATCCTCTCCCTTTTCTTCCTCTTTCTTCTTTCTCTTATATTCTGT